TAATTAAGATTTTTCGACTATCAGGAAAAACAAAGAGGTAAAAAGAGGACAATTGCTTTTTGGCTCACAGAGGGGCCAAGAAGGCGAAAAAGATCCTTTCTAAAGTCAAGACTAATTAGCAGCGGGCTGTTTGACAAAGTCCAGGTGAGAGAAAGCCAAAAGATTGTCATTTTATGTGACGTGCAAAAGGGCAAAATTGGATTTTGTTTTTTTAAACAAGAACGATGTAACCACGCCCGCAAAAACAGGGGGAGAGGATGTTCGATCAATAACAATTGGTCGAATACGATCACGTGACCTGCGGAAGAAAAAGGGAAAGAAATGCTCGATCAGGAACGATTAGGTTGAAAAGCGGTCACCTGACATACGAGAGACTAAGAGAGATGGATGTGCGCCGCCCCACCAAAGGTACTATGAGGAAGTAGGGAAAAAAAACAATAAGCGATAATGGAGAAGACAGAATTAATGCAGTTTTGGAATTATCGAGAAAAACCTGACGCCGACAGACCCACCCCAGTTTGTTGCGTAAGGCGTCAATATAAGCAGGACCCCAGTCGACAGAAATCAGTAGAGTTGAGTTGCAGTTGAGAGTTGGACCGCGGGCAGGGATAGAGCCTGAACGCGGCCATCAGGCCCGATTCACTCGCCCCTTTGCGGGCAGAAGAATCCTCAGACAAGAAATCCTTCCAGCCCAAGTCGAAGACAGGAGAACTTCCAGCCCAAGTAGACGAAGAAGAAGATTGCCTGAAAAAGCCTGAGAAGAATTGGAGATGCAGACAAGCTGGAAGAAAGTCGATGAGAGGTTAAAGTTCATCCCGGACGGCAGTGAGAAAAGAACCCTCAGACAAGAAGAACTTCCAGCCCAAGTAGATGAAGAAGAAGATTGCCTGAAAGCCTGAGAAGAATTGGAGCTGCAGACAAGCCGAAAGTCGATGAGAAGTTAAAGTTCAGCTCCGGACGGCAGTGAGAAGAGACCACCTCAGGCGACAGAGAATTGCGGCTAAGTTGAAACAAGAAATCTTCCACCAAGTTGAAACAGGAAAACTACCAGCCCAAGCAGACGAAGAAGAAGAAATACAACTCAAGTCGGAGAGAAGAATCAACTGCGAATGATCGATAGAAATTAGCCCCAGTGTCGAACTGAACCACCTCCGACATACATACATGATTCTAGAAAGTAGGTAATTCGACATTTTTCTATTGTGTGATAGAAGCTTGGTGCCATAGTCCACAGAGCGGGTCGGGAAATGAGAACAATTTTGTTTTTTATGTAACGGACTTTAAGATATAAAGGTTGTTACCCTTTTTATCAGCAATTTTGTTTGGTGTCGTGAGTTTTTATTTTATTTGTGTTTTGCCACCCCGGTCGGACTCAACATATCGGGCCCTGATCCTGCTGGTCCCGTCTGTCTAAGATCTAAACACAGCGTGGGTGGACAGACCGGAGATCGGTATAGTTGCTTTAGTGACCAGGTATTGGAAGCGAGTCGGGAAAGGCGAGGCTGGTGATCATCTGACCAAAGGGTTGGATGCGCTTGGACCCAGGAGGAGCGACCAGGAGGAGCGACGTCACCGTTGGCGCCGTAACCAAAGGATCCGACACTGGGCCAGGTGTGTAACCGTCACATTAAGAGACGACCAAAAAGAATTCTTAAATTTAAGACCAAATTGTCATCTGCAACCTAAATGTGACCTCTCCACAAAGAAGACCGAAACTGAAATTCTACACCAATCACTATCCCAACTTGAAGCGTAGGGAGACATATCAGTTCACACAGACCTAAGAGACTTCCTCAAGGCCGTATGTTTGAAAAGCTGCTCCCCTTGCAACAGCTACAATAATATTTTAACAACTAAACTAAAAATTGCTGCAAACGAACTAAAAAAAACAAAAAACAAAAAAAAAACAATAATCCTAACATTGTTATCAAATGAGCTAATATAAGTAATTTTGGATAAAGCTGATTACGATTAAAAATTACAAAACATCATCAATGACCGTACTAAATTCACCAAACTAAACAGAAACTCCATGGAGACCCTAAAAAGGTCCATCAACAAACTTATAATAGCAAATAATGCTGAAGTCGGTACCCTTAAAATCCTCCCACCCAAATCATTGGATCTGGATAATTATATGGAAATATAAAAATACATAAATCCAAATCCCAGACACTATCTATAAGTATAAAGTCTATATGTTTTGTATGGAGTCTGGTAAGTTCATGTGTGTTTAAATTGGTTCTAATAGAGCTGTGGTCAGATAGGTATAATGTAAAACATCTGGATAGGCATTTAGTCGTGTGAGCAATGTAATTATGAATTTGGTTTGATCAGAAACACAGTTCCTTAAGGGGCATTTGAACTCATAAATAATGTTTGTTCATTGTAATTTTGATAGTGTGTTGTTATTTTTGAGGATAAGGTTAGCTGTTTTAAATTTTAAAGAAGATAATTTTATTTTTTATTTTGCTCAATTGGGATAGTGTATTTCTTTATATTTCTAAATTTCAGGACAATATTCATTAAAATACAATTCAGTTCAATTTGACAAAGACGATGGACATAAAAACAAGTCTTATCCAAAACAGATAACTGAAGAAGGTTTATTAAACCGAAACGTCAGACGTCGACATTTCATTCATTTTAAACAACATAATTGCATGTAAGAATTTTTCTTCATTCTGTCGGATCTATATCCATTTACATTTGCTTATATATATATATATATATATATATATATATATATATATATATATATATATATATGTGTGTGTGTGTGTGTGTCATGTGCTTACTGTAATATTTTGTGACTGTTTGTCAACAACCCTACAAGCTACTTGCTATTTCAACAGCTGCATATAAAAAAAAAGAGCCCTCCCCTCACAAAAAACAGTTTTTCACTGCTTTTTGAGATAAAAAAAAAGAAAAAATGGAATTTTGGTTCACAATTCATCAAATTAACAGTTTCTGTTTTAACAAGATATAAACATTTTTATTTTTATTTTTTTAAAAATATTTAAATAAGTTTCTTATTACTTCACAACAGGTTTCAGAAAATGGTGTTGATTGATGACTGGAAAAGTGTAAATTCGTAAATTTGACAAACTTTACTTAAAGTGACAAAATATTACGGTAGGCCATAAATGACAAAATATTCACAACTGCATGCCCTGGTTTCAAGTCACCCTTCACCAGTGACATACACACACACATATATACATACATACATACATACATACATACATAATAGCTGGCCACTCTTATCCAAGGATGCCTGTCTACTAGGGCGGTTAGCTAATCCCTGTTGCAGACGCCTTCTCAAGCACATTTGTGTTTGTTCAACACCCACAGAACCCACCTGTGATTTGTACTGCAACTAAGCTGAGCATACCTTAGTTACAATTTCTGGGAGAAAGCACATTACCTAAAGTGATCAGCAGAAAAAGACCAGCACACACTCAAACTCTCAGACATGAGGACTTGTGATTTCATACTAGCACAACCAATGACGGCTACCAAGGAGTTCTGTCTACTCTATTTCACACACAAAGCTTAGGTCAATCTGTTGAATGCTTTTTAAGGCACACAAGTGCCACACACCGAGATCGCCTCCCCTAGACCAACAACATTAACATCATACTAACTTTAAGAGAGTTGTCCAGGATAAAAATAACTCGAGATATTTGTGCCAGAGTGGTATCAGAAATTTTGAAACTAGTTTTATTGACCAGCTACATCTCGAAAGACAACGGTGAAAAGAGAAACGGTCAACAAATATTCCTGTTGCTAAGTCACAAGATCTGAGACTAGTCACATACACCATAAACATAAAAACGAAGTGTGACTTTCAATTTTGATGTATGTCTTCAATCCAATTTAGCATCTGCTTAGACTATGATTCCAATTTATCCAGCATCAAGCAAAAGACCATCCACTACCTACAAGACAGGGTGAGCCAACCAGTCATAACTTTGGGAGTGGGAGTTTTATTCAAAGCCATCCATTTTGAAACATGCTAATTTTTGTGTTTTCTCTGTGCAGTTCAAGTCTGGCCATAATGGAGACAGAAATTTGCTAGTTGAGATTTTAGGTTAAAAATGATTCAACAGCCTCAGTAAGAAAATGCAAAGTCAAAAGCCAAATTATGACTAAAAATGATATAAAACATTGTTTATTGTACAACAAAGCTGGAGCTGCAGGATGAGCCAAAACATCAATCAAAATTATTATATGGTGAAAGCTTCCTTCAAAGTTGACAAAAATTCTTTTAATAATCAAACTGACATAGTTCAAGTGGAACTTAATTAAAAAAATAAAAAAATGAGAAAGAAAAATAAAAAAATGAGAAAAAAAATGAAATTTAATTTTTTTTTTTTTCAAATGAAAAAAATAATTCACTTTTTACATTTGAAATAATTTAAAAAAAAAACAAAAAAAAAACTACTTGTCTGTTCTGTTTTAAAATTTCTTTATTTAATATTAAAGAGAAATAGAAAAATATAGAAACATTTTATTATTCACCAAATCCCAATCAATTTTTCTATTCCATTAATTAAAATACACGCTGATTTTACATGATATTCTAACTAGAGGTTTAATAATTAAAAAAAAAAAAAAAAAAATATGAAGATGCTTTCATTTATTTCAAAATCTCTCGTATTGCTTATTTAAATTTTCACCCCACCATACACATCATTTTATTGCAATATGGATTGATAAAGGCTCAGTAATTTGGTGGAAAATTTGAGGATGTTTGCAAACTCAAAACTGAAGACTCCAAAGGGTTGGAATAAAAAAAAAAAAAATTTACCCAACTGCTCAGGGGGAGGTAACTTCAGTTTTCTTCACTTACTAAACGTCTCTTGCCTCCCCGTCTTGCAAGCATCAACCCCTACCCCGCCCACTCCATTTTACTACAAAAATGTTTTGTAAAATCCTGGCTCTGACAAACAGTTTATTTACCAGAATTCAATTTCCATCTTGGCTGTTTCTTGCCTTCAGGCTTTGAATATATGGACAGCCCGTACCACAAACTGACGGCAAATTGGGCATTCATTTAACTTACGTCCGCACTGTGTGCAGGACACCATATGGCCACATTCCAACAGGACACAGTCTATTGTGGCATCCATGCAAATTTTGCATGTCTCTTCCTCATTTGACACTGGCGATTCAAGATCTGAAAAAGAGAGAAAAATCCTGTCAACTTGTAAAATATATCTACTGATGTCAATATTAAAACAATGTGTAGAATCATTTCTCTCAAATGATAAAAAGTCGTCATTTAAAATTCTAAATTATTATCTACCATGAACTCAAAAGGTCAAAATTTTACAATTGTCTCACTCCATTCTGCCATCTTTAATAGTTCCAGGTGCTTTTTAAAGTTTTCCAGGAAATTGAATTCTTTCGGGATGGGAATAAATGGTGCTGGATCTGAGAATTCAATATTTGGTAATTATAATAGAGGAATCAAAGATGGAATATTACACTCCTTTCTCTTAATGTACACTCAGTCAAAACATGTCTTATCGTGTATCAAGTTTAGCATGTTGGGAATATTGGTTGTTCTTCCACTTTCAATAAGCACAAGTATATAATTCTCATGTGACCAATGTTTAAGTGGACCAATATTAACACTTCCTTTTGAGATATTCTGTATCCTGGCTTCCATTTTCCAAGGGATTTGAGGATCTGTTCCACAAAGCAGCAATTCTGGGGAAAAAGTAAAGTGGAACTTGCGCCTTAGCTTTTGAACACAGGGGAAATGAAGGTGATTTCACTCTGTGGTTGTAGCATGATGTATCCTAGTAGTAAAAGCTTGAACTGGTGGGCTCAACTGAACATTTGGCATATGAGCAGCAATAAGTTTGTAACATTGCTCAGAATAGAGAATAAGTCCTCACCTCCAACAAGACCACATATATGATTTTAAATTGTCAAGGCTGCAAAGTGAGGGTTGTGCAACCCCAACCCAGATATGGCAGCAATACTCTTTTTTTGGTCTATCTGACACTTGTAAAGTATGGCAGGAGGAGTGAAGTTCTGACTTCATTCCTTAACTAGAAGTGCTGACAACACTAATATTTACAAGATCACTTTTCTCTTATAGTTAAAACAGAACATGGTTTTAAAATGCCTATTATCAAATTAATAGTGACATAAATTCCAGTCAACTGCAGTTAATCGCTTAAGCAAAAAATTGTTGTCACGGTGATAGTATTTTTCTAAGCGTAGCTTAGATGTGGCACAAGGCCGAAAGTATGAGGTATCCTGTGAGGATCGAACTCACTATTCAGTTGTAATTGATTTAGCGAAGCAAACTTGCTAACCATTGCACTACACGGTGATAGTCTTGTTAGCAGAAGGTAAAACTTGGCAAAGTTATCTCCCTTGAGTTTAGAAATAAAATCGGTAGTGTGTGTGTGTGTGTGTGTGTGTGTATATATATATATATATTAGTGGTAAATATATATATATATATATATATATTTCTATAAAAAATAATTACAAGAGGATAGAATCCAGGTAGAACTCAATGTCCAGGACAGAGTAAGGATATAATTTTTTTTTTAAATCAATTTAGAAAAGAGTCCTTTTTCTGTGTCAAATCCTTTTTTGCTGAGATTTTGGTTATTTATAGTGTTTATATTCGAACTATTATCCTCATCTTTGTTGTTGTTATGTTTCTCAGCCTTCTTCAGGTGTATATTGATCTGTATAATCTACAGGGACTTCTGAACTACAGTTCAGAATTTCCTGGAGGTTACTCAGATCAATATACACCTTAAGAAGGTCAGAGTGCACAACAGCCAAAATGTGATAACAACAAAGATGAGGACAATAGTCCAATTATAAATGGTGTAAATTATCTTTACCTTGTTTTTATTAATAACAAATGTCAAATTTGAAACTATGCCCATGTCATTGTTAACAGCATACATCAGATATTTTTATACTTTTTTTTTTTTTTTTTTTGAAAAGAAAAAAAAAATTATGTATTTTCCTTTTGGATCAAAATAGGTTTAATTTTTTTTTTTTTTTCTTTTGAATATGTAATGTAATAATCGCCAAAATTTAAGGAATTCTGTCAAGTCTCCACAAGAGACCAGACAAGGTCACTAGTGTGTATTTTTTGTTAATTTCTTTTCTTTCTTTTTTGTACAGTGAAATGCTCAGAGATTTGTAACCAAACAATTTTTTTGTAAAAACGCTTGATTCCATTGGTGAAATTGAATTAACAAGAATAAAAACTTGTAATTCCAACGGATAATTTATTGTTAAAACAGATATATTTCAGAAAGCTTTTGCAATCCTTGATCACTCTTGAGAAATAAATGAAACAGTGGCTAAGTTACATTGTATAAGTTATAAATTCAAATTAATAAAAAAATTTTGACTTCCTGCTTAAGCTGAAAGCATGAAATGTGCTTAAAGAAAGAAATGTCATCTCCAAACCAGAGTAGAAAAAAATACTCCTAGTTGAAGTAAGGAAGTTCATGCTATGTGAAGCTGTGTTGCTTCAATTCTAATACAGACATTTTCGGTACTTGCTATTATCATTTGTTCAGCCTCAAATCTTTGGTTGAATTTGTGTTGGTTGGTCAAAGTCTATTTCATGACCTTTGATTCAATCAAATTTTTTTTGTTAATTTGAATTTATAACATATACAATGTAGCTTAGCCACTGTTTCATTTATTTCTCAAGAGTGATCAAGGATTGCAAAATCTTTCCAAAATGTATCTGTTTTAACAATAAATTATCCGTTGGAATTACAAGTTTTTATTCTTTTTAATTCAAATAAATTTTTATTTCTTTCTTACCTTTTTTTTGTTGTTTTTGTTCTTCCCACAATCTCCGCACCCTATCCAACAATTCCCATTTCTCTACACAACCTTTGTAATCAACAAAATGGAATGACAGAATTTCTTTCAGCTCTTTCACTGTCAAATTGGCTACAGCCTCAATGTTCTCAAATGTATCAAGGTTCATATAGGCGGGTTTGGACGGTGAAAAATTTGGTGAAACTGCACTCTGCAATTAAGAAAAACAAAATCATTTAGCCTTCCACTTGTTACGACAGTTAGGAGTTTCAAAGTTCTCTAGAAGAAGAATGAGCACACTACACTAGTAGAAAGCAATAAGAAACAATATCACAGGGACAAAAAATAATCAGCTCATACATGAAATCAATCTATAAAAATAATATCGATAAAAACAAAGATGAGACCAATTAAATCAAAGTACACTGACAATAGATCATCTAAAAAAAAAAAAAAAAAATTCAATTTTCCTCAGTTACCTCCCTTACTTTAATAAAGTCAGTTAAGTGCCATACGTGATACCCGTTTGAGCAATCATGTCTCTTTCGATTCATGACTGATTAAGCAGATTTTCTCTCAGTAGAATGCCATTTTTTTCTGTGGTAGACTGGTTGTCAACCAAGTCTATAGGACCCAGTCTGTCTTGTTAGTGAACTCTAATAATAATGGCTGCTCATTTGAATGAGAATGCCTATCTACTCAATATCAACCCACAGCTGGGAGGGAGGGGAATAGATGTTTCTTAACTTTCCCAAGGGTATTTGTACATCAGTGACTAACGAACCCGATTGGAATTTGAACCTGGCTTTGATTTCTCATTCTGAGCCGATATCTATAACACCATAATGTGCATCCACTTAAATAAAATGTTTCTTAAAAGCAAAAATGTCATTTCTAATATTTTATACATTTCATATTATAATAATAATAATAATAATAATAATGATGATGATTATTATAATAATAATGATGATCGCTGCTCATTTGAATGAGAATGTCTATCTACCCAATTTCATTCACAAGGCTTAGGTCATCCTGTTGGATGCTTTTCAGGCATTTCCCAATGATCATGTGACAAGAGTGATTAGAATATTAGCATTCCAACCATGAAACCTGGATTCAAATCTCACTATTGTCAATAGACCAAATCAAAAATGATAGCCTTCAATAAGTCTTTGGTATTACAGTGCTGCCAGTTGATTGCCCCTCTCAACAACAAGTCATATGTTGTAGGGTGACAGGATCATTAAAATTCTCAGCCATGCCCTCATGGGTCACATGGGTGAGAGTAAAATACTGATGGAATATGTATGGCCATGCTCTTGATCCAGGACTTGATCTCTAGTACCTCAATTTCAAGAAGTACTCAGAGCTATGGTATTATGGACATGGCACACATTATTCATGAACCTCAGGACCAACACAGATGATGTAAACTTGGCATGTATCACTGTGAGTACCTCCAGAGAAGGGCTCTAAACTATTTTTTTCCATCATCTATCCCAGAATCATTCTGAAAAACAACTTTAATTATACACCAAATATTTTAAACTGTCCTGTCATCAAAATGTACTTTTTGTTTTGTTTTTTTTTTCCAACTTTAGCATTTATAGTTGTTAGTCAAATAATAAAAACATCATTAAAATATTTAAGAAATAAATTTAAAAAAGATGAAATAGTAAAGTTTTAAAAATAATGAATGAACACAAAAAATACAGAGTGCGATATGTAAATTGTCGCCATTTTATATAATTAATCCCGTGCATGTGCGTTGTTTGCTTTTGTCGACTGCACAATATAGTAGGGTCAGTTGGTAACAATCTGTGAGTAAAAGAGCACCATGATGCAATTCACTCCTCCAGAAATTTGGAAACAGCATGCTGTACTGTTTGGCATTTGTACCAGAAGTTCCAGTACGAAAATTTCAGAGTTTTTAGGTATCAATCTGAGGACACTGCAGAGGCTATGGAAAGATTTGGATAAGTCTAATGGTGATTACAAAAGATACGGCAACTCAGAAAACTCACTCTGATCGTTCCGATGAGAAAAGAACTCAGACTCAATACAGAGGCCTACATCAAGTGCTGTGAAGTGGTAGTGCTTCCCTGGGTCAAGCAGATGGCTGCTGGAAAACCCTATGTCTAGCAACAAGACTCCACACCATGCCACACAAGTAGAAGAACCCAGTCATGGCTGTTAAACAATTTCTGCGACGACATCACTTCCTCACATCTGGCCACCTAACTCCCCGAACAGCAAACCCCTTGATTATTATGCATGGGGAGCAGTTGAGCAAGAGACCAGCAAAACTCCTTGTAACACCAAAGATGAACTGAAAGCAAGGATTATGGCAGCATTTAGCCTCTTAAACAAGAAGACCATCCAGAAGAATTGCAGGAGATTCTGAAGTCATCTGGAGGTCAGGGTTGAAGCCAATGGTAATTTTATTGAATTAATTTCCTTTTTAGTATTTCAAGATATTTTTGTGTTAATTTTGATAAATATATCTGATATGTCAGTGTTATTTACATTTTTGGATAATTTAAACAATTTTATCCATCACATCCTGTATACTAGTCAAATTTTGCTGGGTTTTTTTTAAAAAAATAAAAATAAAATAATCACAACTTTAAACATTTTTGTGAAATACCCTTGAATAATTTTATATAAAAATACTGATAATTAAATTTTCATGTTCAGAGTAACTTGTCATACTTTAAGAATTATGCATATATTTTTTATATAAAAATTATTAGTGCATTACAAATATTCACAACCAAAAGAGTTTTTAGTCTTTGTCAAAAAAAAATTTTTTTTTTTTGCCTCAATTTTTTTTTTTGTATTTTAGTTATCACTTGTTAAATCCTCCCTTGTATTTTTTTTTTTATTTAGTTTATGATCAGTAGAAAACATTGGTTTTAGAACAAATATATTGAAATTACGAAAGACAGGAAATTGAGGAGTATCATGATGGGCTATGTTCTAAAAGGACACGTCATATAAAGATGAATTAAAATTTTCTATCGTCCCAAACATGACAATATTAATTTTGAGCATGATCCTGAGCTATCAACTGTTCCACTTGTTCAAGAAAAAAATAAAAAAATAAAAAAATAAAAATAAACCCTATCTCAGTCATTGTGGTTTGTGGCTACTGTCACACTCATGATGCGTCCCTTCATTTCCAGTTTCAGATTAAGAGATGTTATGATAGTGCTCCCACTATGCCTGAAAGCAAAATGAGAGCACAAAATTTGGAGCATGTTATTATAGACGATGCCATTTTTCAATTATGACCCAGTAAAAATGTTAGCAAAAAGGGTGAGCCCAAAATACAAATTGGAGATACCAAAATCAAACAAGTACAAAAATTTAAGTATCTGGAAAGTTTTTTTTAATAGAGAACAAAAAGTGTTACACTGAAATCCAAAGGTACATTAGGATAGTCAAAAATACATTCCAAAAGTTAAACAGTGTATTAAGAGACAGAAAAATTTCAATAGAAAAAAACAAAAGAGTACTGAACTGTTGTGTGATATCTGTCCTCCTATATGGCAGTGAATGCTGAACCATCTCCTCAAAGATAAAGAGATTTGAAACGGAAATGTATTTCTACAGAAGGATGCTGAGAATATCATTAACTGAATATGTGAGCAACAACTTTAGAGAAAATAGAAACAAAGAAGAAACTTATAGTTAACATCAGAAAGAGAGAGTTGAAATTTCTTGGGCACATGAGGAAAGAGGACTTGGAAAATTTGATACTCACAAGACATATTGAAGGCAAAAGGAGCAGAGAAAAATAATGCATAACATATTTAATGAGCTTGAGTAAATGGATGGTGGGACAGAATTTAGGAGAAATAACAAAAAGAAAATTTATTGAGCTATAAAAGACAGGAAGTTGTGGAGAGCCATAATCGCCTACATTCTGAGGAAACATGGCACATAAAGTAGAATAAAGGGGTTTTCAAATATCCTGCACACACTGTACACCTAAAGATGACCAAAGACTAAGTTGCATAAAACAAAACAAGGCACAGAAAAAAAATTCAATACTTCAATATTATCTCTTAGAATAATTTTTCTAAATTACAGAAAATAAGAAGTAGCTACATTTTCATATCTAAATTCAAGAGTTTATATATCTGTGTGTGTATCTCATTTATAAAAGTCCCCTATATTTTCAACCATTTTCCTAGTTTCCACTGAAATTTTAAATATAACTTTCCCAACAGTTTGAGTACAGTGTATAGCGGAAAACTCCTACTTTACAAATTTAAGCCTACTGTTGGATTGGCAGTTAGGCCTCATCATCTTACAGTTGAAATCGCTAGATGTAACTGTAAATTTTATGCAAATCATTTCTTCTCTCACAATTCTTGCTGCTGGAACTCTTTCAGTTTCCTACTTTCCTGTCAACTTTGATCTTCAAAAATTTAAATGCAATATTAATCCTTATCTTTTGTCTTCTTAGTTCTGTTATTGTTCTCTCCTTTATAATGTTTTTCTTTATCCCATATCTTTTACACTAACACTTTGTGTCTTAGTGGCTTTATTGCCTTGTTTAAGGTGAAATGATTAAAAATGTAGAGTATAAATATCTGTTAATAATACAATCGATTTGTCTGACCCCAATGAGCTTTGCATATGCAAAAAATTGAAGTTTACATAGAATTGTGTATTTTGGAGAGGAAAGAAAATTCTAATGCTTTATCAAATTCATTTATTTTCTTTTTAATGAAGTCAGTTATTTACAAATTTCAACATTGATCTAAATATGAAATTATTTGAATTAAAAACACAGCTTTAATTTTAAATTCAATACACATTGCTCCCAGGAAACATTCTGGATTATTTTAATATTTTTCCCCAAATAAAATTTTCCTAGTAGTTCAAATAGGATATTGCTGTCATGGATTTTACTACAGTTATTCAGTGGCTTTATTAACTTGCTTGGAGTGAAATGACTAAAAACAAATCTAAGTGACATTATAGGTAAGACAATTTCTGACACAACCAGAAAATAATGTATCAATTTATACATATTTTACAAGCATAAACATTTAATACACAGTTTAATAGAATAAATATAACTCTTATAGCAAATGCTATTCTGGCATTACCTGTACATCTACATCAGGTTCTTGAGTCTGCCTCTGACTCCCATTGCTGCTATTCCATGATGATGACCCTGATAAGGGTTGCACATCCTCACCAGCCCTGCCTTCTGTGGAATCACTGTTATTACTACTAGGAGGTACATGGGCTGTTTGGGAATTCTGTTGATCCAGTTGTGTGTCTATGTTAGTCTGTAAATAAATCAAGAGAATTTTTTTTTTTTTTTTAAAGTTCTTCAGGAATTTTTTTCCAGCAACAATTTTTCAGAATGAGTGGAGTCATGACAGCCAGATATGTCTGCAAAGACTTCATCAAAAAGTCAACAGAGAATAGACAGACAAAAAAAAACAAAAAAAAAAACAAAGTAACATTATTCAAATATCAAATTTATTGGGTTGGATTAGTTGATTCAATGACATGTCAAAATTTGTTCAGTTATTTGATGTCAAAAAGTCCACCGAACCTTTAAAGTTTAGTCCTATACTTATTTTGTTCAGGCATAAATAAATATGGCAGGGGGGATATATTTGAGTCAATAAAGATTTCCTTGGTAGATGGTCCTTTTTGGTGGGGAAGTGTCTTCTAGGCTCCATCAAAAAAGGGGAGGGGGTCGATAAATAGTGGAATTGTTGTGTGTAAGGATTTGCATCATGTTTTCAGTTTTTGATTTGCTTTGAAAATGCCAGTATATTTAAGAGTTGAAAATTGAAAACTAATGTTTTGAAAAAGTTGCCTAAAAACAAGTTGCTCATAACAAAAAAAAAATATTATTTTTATCTCATTTCATCAAAATAAAAGAATGGAAAAAAAAAATGGAAGAGATAAAACTTCAGCTGTTTATATTCACCTAATTTCAAAGTACAAGCCAAGACACAATTACTATGCCACCAAATTTAGTGGTTATGCATATTTGAGTAGTTTATTTTAAACAGTAACTCATCTACTAACTTGAACATTCAAGAAATTTTACTAAAAGAAAATGTGGAGGGTACATCCACTAAAAATATCGTTTAAAGTAATAAAAATATGATGAATTAATAAATAACACCCATATGTATATATGTTTACATCTACGTGTGTGTGTATATATATATATATATATATATTTAGATGTATTCTAAAAACTGCTGTCTGAAGTTATTAGGCAAAACCAAATTACATTTTACTTCAATAAATAGGTAATAAAATCATCAAAAATTGGTCAACACCTATAATAGAAGAAATAATAAACACACAATTCTTTGAATCTTTTACATTTTAATACAGTGAGCCAGTAATCTATTATCCATTGATTTTGTTAATTTTTTTTTTTTTTTTTTTGCTTCAGATGGTTCAATTTCCAACATGGTAGTTTTGCTTCCTGTAGGTTTACTTAGCCGTTATATTGTTTGCCACCTTCATATAATTTCATCTTCACAATTGACCATACATTTTTGATCAGATTCAGGTCAGGAACTTGGTGGCCATTCCATTATCTTCTCTTCTGTAAATCTTTTATGCTTAAAGAATTTACAGTCAAGTTTATATATGAGAAGGAGTATTGTTGCACATAAATACACTTCACTTTGAAACTGGGACTTGTACCATACAAAGAAAGTCTTGTTCATAAAAATCGCAATAGTCAAACTGTTCAGTTTAACTTCTTCATTGACCTTGAATGATCAAATAATGATCTGGTCAACAATTCCAGCCCATATCATAACACTACTGCATCCTTGTTGCCTTCTTTTAACCATAAGGATATCTGAATAGGATAAAATTCATCCTTTGGCCCATCCATCATGTCTATCAAATGTCACTTGACATTCATCTGTGAAAATTACTTTAGAAAGTCAATTTTCATGTATTTCTTGGCCCAATTTTGACACTAAGAACATTTGCTTTAGCAACAGGAGTTTTCCTAGGAGTTTTTTTTTTTTTTTTTTTACAGATCCCAATTCACGAAGTATTCTACAACTTTTGTTCTTCTTGAGTCCCTCAATTGCAGCCTTTTCAAAGATCTGAGCGCTAGTCCAAAGTTGCTGTTTTGCTACAACTCAATTTAGTTTACATTCATCTCGAGGAAGTAAGTTCTTAAAGCCTTTTCCTTTGCTTTGAATTCTCAAATAATCCCCAATGTGGACATTCCCTCACTCAATAACTTTGTTATTTTGTTTTTCAGCAGTTGTTAGGTCCTTCATTTTACGCATATTTCAACATATATTATGGACAAAAAATAAAAAATAGTTTTTATTAGATGTCAGAGGTCATAAGTTAATATTAATTTAATCTGCATATTAACAGATGTTAGTCCATTTTCATAAATTTCAAATATCTCAAAAGCTAACTATTAAAAATGGCAGAAAATTTAATTACATATCTTACAGAGAATGTAAATGAATGTTTAAATTGAAAAAAAATTGGTTCAGAACTTTTTAAAGTATTGAGGGTTATTTGATTTGCATAATAACTTCAGACAAGCTGTTATATATATATATATATATATATATATATATATATGTGTGTGTGTGTGTGTGTATGTATGTATGTATGTGTATATATATATATATATATATATATAAATATAAAAGTGAACATAGAAGTCAACACTTAGAGGCGACAGTCTGTTTCATGCTATATGCAATCGCCAGGCCACGTGTGCTGTTATTTTTCTCGGCTCTCTGACGATTGCATATAGCATGAAACAGACTGTCGCCTCTAAGTGTTGACTTCTATGTTCACTTTTATATTTACACACGCTCTATCTCTGATATTGAGCACTTTATCCCATAAATATAGCACACCTTAAGACTATATTTCTTTATATATATATATATATATATATATATATAACATTCACTTTCTGACCATGGGACCCAGGTTTGAATCTCACCACAGCTGATTTATCAGGAAGGAGACTTCCCAATATTATCGGTCTGTAGGGGGACAAACCCATCGTGCAGCGCTTTTGGAAAGTGCCTGAAAACCATACCATGAGTTGACCCAAGCCTCGTGAGTGAAATTGGGTAGAAGGAACACTTGGGTGACCATCATTGTGACTCAGGGTTTGAGTGTGCGGGCCTCGTTCAGATTGCTGATCATGCTAGATAACACGATCTCTTCCAGAAACTGTAACTAAGGTCTGCTCAGCATAGTTGCAGTATAAACCACAGGTTGGCTCTGTGGGTATTGAACACAAATGTGCCTGAGTGAGTGTCTGCAATAGGGATTGGTTAGCCACCCTAGTAGGCAAGGGTCCTTGAATACAAGTGGCCAGCTATTATTATTATAATATATATATATATATATATATATATATATACATACATACACACACACACACACACAACCTCTGGCACTGATGGTGAGAAATAATACACAACTATTTCCACAGAGCCACAAGCCATGTTGCTGCTAACTATTGTATGAACAAAAATAGCTGAACAAAGAGAAAATGAGAGAAATAATTGAAAAATCAAGAGGTAAAGGCTGACCCCCTAAAAAACTTTTATATATATATATATATATATATATATATATATATATATATATATATATATAAATAATAAAGCAAATATATGGATATAGATCTGACAGTATGAAGAAAATATACTGAAAAAACAAACAAAAATTCAATATGAAAAAGACGATGGTTTTAAATGTTTTAATGTCAACATTTTTCATGTTGAATTGTATATGGTCCATCTTAGGACATATTGTTTAATGAATATGTCCTGAAGATGGTCAATTCAACATGAAACATCCGACGTGGATATAAAAGCAATAAAACTTTTAATTGCATATTAGGATTTTTGTTTGTTTTTTCAGTATATTTTCTTCATATAAATATATATATATGTGTGTAAGATGGCAGCTTACCTGGTACTCAATATAGTTCCCAAAGTGCCGCAAAAGAAGTTCAACCAAGTCGTGCTTCTCTGTACATGTGCTTGTTGAGATGTTTTTCTTACGCAGGAACACCTGCAGGTCTTTCACTTTCCACTGCATGAGGTCGTTGCGTGTGAAGTTACCCGAAGTTAGGATTTGACATTTCCGACACTGTCGATTCAGCTGAATATTATTCCATTGCCGTTGACAACAAGATGAGCAAAAGTGACGCCCACAATGGTAGCAAGTTTTCTGAAAAATTCAACAAATTATACAGTACTTGTAGATTTATGCCAAACTAACCAAGCACATGCACAACACACACTATGAAAGGGGAAAAAAGAAAAGAAAAGAAATCAACCTGGCACCAATGAAAAGTGCATATATAAAAGAAAAAGAAAAAATATAAACAGTCAATTGCTGATATCCCCTGACGAGTGGGCAGAGTGTTTGCTGGAGGGTTCATCTACAAACCTCTAGAGTCAGGAAGCTGATGGTAACACCAAACAGCTAAGTGACAAATTTATATTTGTATTAATTATATATATATATATATATATATATATATATATATATATATATATATATATATGTGTGTGTGTGTGTGCATCTCTAAGTAATAATATATAAAATCTGTTTGATTAATAAAGAGAATTCTTCTTTAGAAATTGCTTTGTTTACATTAGGACATGAAACTGAGCAGATATGTATATTTTGAGAGTCTACGAAAGATTTGTATTTGTAAGGCACTTGCCTAATCCTCAACACACTTCATGGCTGAGAGGTCTGAATCAATGATGGTTTCCCCTGCCAAAAGGGATGCAGGTTCAAATCCTGCTGGAAAGCACATTTTTCTTTAATAAGATTTCTCACTTACTCGAATATGGGTATCCACTATATATAATTAGGTGATCAACCAATTCTGCCATCTTGGTTTCAACCTTTTGGTATCTTCAGATGATTTTAATCAATCGATTTCCTAAGTACACAATATGAATGTGTGGTAGAAGGAGAGGAGAAATCAAGTGTATTGGAAATGTAGAAGTGGAGGATTAAATGAAATGTACATACTTTCTTTTTATCGCATTTCAAAGGAACTCAAAAGGAATTTTTTAGTATGTATACAACAGGACATAATTTCCAATCTCCAATTCAAAAGATTTTTTTGGTCTGGAAATGTTATTATTGCTAACTTTTCTTGTTGACAAAGGTTGCAGATGTTGCCATGATTGTTGTAAGGTTTTGCTTTTTTTTGTTTTTAAAATTTTCCAGTTTACAATTGGATCTTTATTTTTTCCTTTAATTTCCACAAATGATCGACTAATTTAGTAGAATTTCAAAGACTTTCTATCTTAAAAGATGACTTATGATTGTACCACCTCTTTTTAAAGTTACCCTCAGTACACCCTATGTATATTTTTTTACTGGCCATTTGTATCTTAAAAAATATAGTGTTAAAAAAAGAAAGCATGTGTTCATGTGCGACTCGTTTTAATATATATATATATATATATATTTGATAGTTGTATATTTAGGCAGCAATCCTTCGTTTATGCATGTTTCATTAAAAATGACGGACAAGGTACAACGATTGAGCTTTTTATTTAATTTTTCTTGTGTTCAAAGAAGAGCTTTCTTTTCTAGAAAATGTTTTATAGTTCCGAGCACTTTTGGCTATACCTTTAGCCATTATCAAGGATGATTCAATTTTTCAGCTTAATTGAGTGTGTGCATTATGTGTATATTTTAGTGTGTTGTAGGGATGTTTTAATTTCTGAATAGGGTTACCACATTGTGGCCTTGTTCATAGTTAAGTTAGTTGTTAAGAGTTGGCTTTTTCTTTTTTATTATTAAAGCTTCCATTATTTTTAATCTTAGTTTTACAGGTGGATGCAGTTATTATATTTGTGTTTTCTACTAGTATGTTTCTAATGGAGTCTGGTAAGTTTGTGTGTGTATTTAAATGGGTTCTAATAAAATATAAATTCATAAATTTAATTGAATTAAAAAATTTCAATGCTCATGAATATTACTTTTTCATCTGCTTATCAACCCTCTGTGGGGTATTTAAATCTGAAACCGGTTTGATTATAATAATCTTTTTTTTAATAGTGGGAGAGGGGGTCCCTGAAATTAAATATTACATAAATCATTTTTAGACTTAGTGATTTTTCCAGATACAAAACCTACTATTTAACCCATATCTGGGGTTGGAGATGGATTCATACCTTTCCCAAGTGTATTTGTGCATAAGTGAATGCAATCAACTCAACTGGAATTCGAACTTGGCTCTTTGATTTCTCATTCCAAGCTGCTATCCATCACACCATCTACACACCCATGTGAAACAATAAGAGAGTTTTATTTTTGTTAAAAACTGACAAAATTTTCAAAGACTGTCAACAAATATTTTCACAAACTCCCGTCAGTCATTACAAACAAAAAACAACATGACATTTGCTATGTTGACAAAAACCACTAAAGACAATATTACCACAAGCACAATAGTTTAAAGTATTTTCTTTAATGTTTAGAGGAGATGAACAGAATGGGGAGGGGTCATTTAGTCATGGCAGTTAGTGTGCTCTGGTGCATGACTTGTCAAACAGTTTCTAAATCATTTAAGTATCTCTAATAAATGACCGAGATATGGCAGAACATATGAGGCAAGTGACCACAAATGTTGTTACTAAACAAGTGAGACTTGTAACTACAAGTTATCTCCTAACAAAGAAAAAATAACAATAAAACAACAAAGCAAAAATGAAAGAAACAAAATGACTCACTAAATCAATTTTTGCAACACTACATAGGAAACCAGATGCAGACAAATGCAAATTCCATAGTACAATCAGTTTAATGAGCCACATAACCAAACTAATGATGCAAATCCTAATGAATAGAGTACCAAACAGGCTTAGACTGGAAATAGGACAAGAATTGTGCAGCTTTGTCAAGGGCACTGGAACAAGAAATGCAATATTTATCATTAGAAGGATACCAAAGAGAGAAACACAAATGCAAAAGAATGTGCACTTACATTTTAAAGATTACACAAAAGCATTTGACAAGGTCTGGCTCAAAGATATATTTGAACTTCTATGAAAACGAGGTTTATTTGGAAAAGATGTTAGAATAATCCAGAATTTACAATAGGAGCAAACCACCTGCATACAGACAGAAAATGAATTGAGTAGCTACCCAAAAAATAGAAAGGGGTATGAGACAAGGATGCACCTTCTCACCAGATTTATTCAAACTCTACAGCAATGATATCCTAAGGAAAACTAAAGACCCTACCAAAATTTATTATCGACGGGTGTAATCTTAATTATATGATACATGTCTGTTACTATTTATTCCAGATATACAATTATCAATCTGTAAAATCCTTGTTTATTCAAACCACAAAGATAACTTATTTTAGATTAAATACTTGCCAAGGTGATACCTATGAAGTATCACCTTAATACCCACACCTCAAAACAAAACCGAGTAAACTAGAAATTTACCCACCAATGTAATGATCATCAGTCCCACTTAGCGGGTCTGGTCAGAGTCACTTCAGTTTAGTAGTTTCCTCCACTTCTGGGTTGAAAGCCAGAGAGATATTCATCATTCATGTATAGCATATCTTGAGCAAATAAACTTGCTGAAGCCCATCCCTCACCAGGTCAAACCACAATTGATGTCCTCCAACTTTGATCACAGACATGCGGCTACCGATTCTATTGGAGGAATTCTTTGACCTGGACATTGAAATAAATCGAGGAAGCCCTCTACCCAGCGATGTCATATAAAAAAGAAAAAGGTTATTCAATAGAAATCATCTTCATTTTTAAGGGCACCCTGGAAGAAACTGCAGGCTAGATTTGGGGTGGGGTTACATTCATGATAACAGCATTCAACAACTCCTTAGTGCAGTAAAGGACATGGCGCATGAATTCTCAAGGATCCAAGCCAGGAATGCGCAGAGATTACATACGAGGATGGAGATGACAAGATCATAAAAATTTTCAGCCAGCATCATCTGGGCTGAATGGGACATATGAGAGGGAGTAGACTTGTGTTGAAGCACACATGACCACCTCCTCAATCCAGGCCTTGATCACAATGTTCCATATTGACCCTGGCATCCTGAAGTGAGGTGGGATGACATGACCCTTAATGTTCATTACTTCCAGGACAATAACAGACAATGTGAACTTGGTATTCATCACCGAGTGTCACCATGGAATAGAGAAACAGCCATTTGTCATCTCTCCTGTTCACATAGACATTAAAAAGCCTGTTATTTCTGAGACACTGTGGTTGGCAGCTAGTACCATAGACATAGTATACTTTTCATTTCCTGTTTGATTGTAAGCTTTAATGTTAAGGCTCTTAATACGTCTGAAAGAGAAATGACAATACTATATTTCATATTTAAAATGGGGAACAATTTTCAAGTTGCATAATAAGATCCAACACTACCAAAAGTCATTAGAAATGTTTTTTGCAAAAATATATAAGCTGAAATTCACATGGTATAATGGTTGTACTTTTTTCTAAGTGTGCTTGTCTGCTCAAGCAGCTAGCCAATCACTGTTGCAGACACCTGCTCAGTCATATTTGTGTTTGTTCAACAGCCAGAAAGTCTACTTATGGTTTAATCTGCAACTATGCTGCGTGAAGCTTAGTTGCAGTTTCTGGGAAAGATTGTGTGATTAACAGTTTCAACGAGGCCGGGACACTTGAATCTGTGCTCACGAAGACTGTGCTAGCACAAGAATTGACAAACAGGTCCATCAAAGGAACTTGACTGACAACGCTTTAGTGAACTTGGGATGAGGTTTTCAGGCACTTTCCAAATGTATGCCTACCCAGGCTGATAACACCAAGAAAATACCTTCCAGACAAATAAGCCATGTTGACATTTAAACCCTAGTCTGACTGTTGAAAAACAAACATTCTCACCACTTGGTCATACACACATGGCATATTTTTTTTTTTTTTTACAATAATGTACACAACTCAAAAGACACTCAAAGTAGAGTATTACAGAGTAAAAAGTCACAGTTTATGGGATACGTGGGGAAGATTACAGTTAACTCTGAACAAGATATCATAGTGATCTCAAATATAATTTGAAAAATCTCTAATCGGTCATGTTAAGAGTACATCACAAAAAAAACTGTTGGAACTGCTATTAATAGCATGACATATTTGGAAAGGCTATTAGAATAATCCAGAACCTACACTGGCAGCAAACTGACTGTATATGGATGAAAATGAATTCAAAAAATATGAAAAGAGGTGTAAGACAAAGATACGTCATTCACCCTATTCAGTGAATTGATTCGGAGTAATACCAGCATTCGTTATTGGCGGCCATAATCTTAAAAAAAAAAAAAAGAAAGAAATGCAGATGACAGTGTTGTTAGCAGACACAGAAAGGAAACTATAGGAAAGCAAAGAGAAAGGACTAAACATCAATTGCAAGAACATAGAATGCATTGTTGTCAGCAAAAGGGCCAGCCCAAAATGCAAATTACAAATCAGAGATAGCAAAATCCAACAAATACAAAAATTTTAAGATCTAGGAAATGTTTTAACAGAGAACATAAAGTGCGACATTGAAATCCAAAAGCACATTGTGATAGTGAAAGATACCTTCCAAGAGCTAAGCAGAGTATTAAAAAACAGGAAAATTGTTAAATTCAAAGAAAAGATTACTAAACTGTTAGATCATATCAATCCTATATGGTAGTGAAGGCTGGACAATCTCCTCAGAAATGAAGAAGAGACTTGAAGCAACAGAAATGTGGTTCTACAGGAGGATGCTGAGAATACCTTGGATCAAATATGTGAGCAACAACAAAGTTTTAGTGAAAATGGAAACAAAAAAGACCATTATACTTATCAGAAAGAGATATGGTGAAATTTCTAGGCAACGTAAGGAAAGTAGGCTTGGAAAATTTTATCCTCACAGGACATATTGAAGACAATAAGGACAGAGGAAAACTAAAACAGACTTCTTAGTGAGCTTGAGTAAATGGATGGCAGAACAGGATTTAGGAGAGATAAGACAAAATTTATTAAGAGCTACAAATGACAGGACATGGTGGAGGGCCATGATCACCAACATCCTGACAGGCTACATAGGAGAAGAAGCAAGATGCCTGAGAGTGAGGCAGCAACTTATGGTTTTTAGCTTTTCTTCTCCAAATTGACAACTCACCTTTCGTTTAAAAGTGGTAAACTGTACAGCACATGATTCACAAGACATATTGGTCCGATTGCTCAACAAGAGGCCTTCCTCTGAATTTGGAGAGAATTGAGCAGCAGCAGTAGTAGTAGTAGTAATATTTATTGGGTGTGCCCACTGTTCTTGGGCCTTCACAACCCCAGCCCCCATATAGCAGCAAAAGGGGGAGGAAAAAGTGAGGCCCAATTCTAGTCTGGAGCTCTCATTAAACAAAAAATGAAAAAGTCGAAACAGCTTCTCTCAAGAAATTCACAGCACTTGTTGATAATCTGAAAAACAAAGAAAAAAAATGCATAACATGAAACACCATCATCTACATGGGAAATACCATACTGACGAAACATTTATCTCTTATAAACTCTTCTACAAATATAGGATTTCTGCCATTCGACAGACGTAATTAACAAAAATGGAACTGTAAATATTCCAAAAGCATACAAATGCACCAATCGACAGTTTTCACATTAGCATCTTCATTGTTTAATCTGCACTTTGGTGCACTATAAAAAACAAAAATGAACGCACTAGACTGAAATTATATTCAATAATGAAAATATTTAATGCAACAACAAAACAAAAAAACACTCATCAATGTATACAAGGGTTACTCTTTTGTACTAAAAAGTACCATCTGGAATAGTCATTTTTCAGCATATGAAAAGGCATGGCTGTTCAAATAAATACTTCATGAGGAATTTTTTATAGAAGTTTAATAAACTACAACAAAATAATCATGCTACAAATAATGCATGTCAAATTGAAGGAAATAATTCTATCAGTTGACACTTATTTGGTACAAAAAGAATGGCACTATTGGTTATTTTATTACAATAGCTTTAACAGATTGCCAATAATTATGTACTGTATTTTTTTGTGCATAATATGAGAAATTCTGAATGCAAATTAAATGCATATAATACAAAAGTACACATTTTCAGAAATTTTTACTCAGCTTAAAAAAAAAAAAAAAAAAAAAAAAAACTTATTAAGTAGCAAGATGGCAAATACACTCACTTTTGCTTTGATGGTCTGTTTACATTTTGATTTTTTTTTTTTTTTTTATAAAGTTTTCCCTTTTCATTCTGAATAAAAGACAATATTTATAGTTTCATAGTTTGTTTATTTACGGAAATGTAATAAAGTCATATCAAACAGAAGTATGATAGATAAACACCTTAAAATATATTACATAATGAAAAGCACCTTTCCCTGAAAATTTAAAAAATTTCGTAACAATTAAGAGATGAAACACACAATGGATAAACATCCAGTTCATTTCTATTCTTTAATATCATGAAAAAAAGATTTTATTGAAATAGCAGTTAAGATGTCTCAAGTGTTACTTAGTGCTAAGTGAATCTATGAATAAAGAAACCAATATAGTGAAAACAGGATTAATGATTTTGTTTTCTTGCTGTGGCTTCCATTTTTCTGTGAACTTGCACCAGTCCCTTTTCCAGTTCTAGTCACACCAACAAAAATGAAAATATATCATGGGGAAAATTAACCAAAGGTCACCAGTTGTATGTTTATATTTCAGTTTTAAACTATTCAGGAGAAAATTGATACCATGATGGCAGAAAATTTAAGACAAGCCAGACATACCTATAATAATTTGACCAAATCTAAAATGCATGAATCATAATTCACTATTTTCTAATATCTTTCTCAATATTAAATAACATTTGCATGACACAAATCCCAACAGAGGATAATGGATGATTATGTTGTGCCAATATTTCTAAAGGGAACAGCTTCCTTGTGGGAGTTACACATTATGTATTTATACAGTGTGATTCACACCAAGAAATATCAGATCCTTTGAATCAAATTTACTGTTACGAAACCTTTTTTCTAAGAAAGAATTTAAAGCAATGACCCTAAACGTACTGGGCCCACCCTAAGAGATTCTCAAGGAGACATTGTACTTGGTGTCGTATCAGATGTAGTCAAGTACAACAGAGTGCTAACCAGGAAGGCAACTAAGCTACCTAGGAGTGTTTGACTTAAAAAATGCAGCTTTAATGAAAAGCTAAAGTAATTTAGTAAAAGGTGAAAATGTATTGTATAATGTATACTAATTTCAAAATATTTCATGGTAAATTTGCACCTAGGATCATATATATTCGTTTTCGACAAGACTTCTATTACAATGTGGGAATTTTAAAACCAACAATGATAGGAAGTTGAATTAGGTCAGCGAAGTTATGCATACATTGGATGTCAAAAAAATAGGACAGAAAGTGAGACAGTGAAATCCATAAGGTGCATTGGGATATCCAAAGATGCATTCCAAAAACTAAGCAAAATATTAAGAGATAGAAAAACTTTGTTAGAAAAAAAAAAAAAGAAAAAAAAAAACAAAACAAGTACTGAACTGTTGCAAATCTGTCCTGCTGTATGGCAGTGAATGCTGAACAATTTCCTCAAAGATGAAGAAGAAACTTAAAGCAACAGGATCATGATTCTACAGAAAGATGCTGAGGATGTCATGTGCCGAACATGTGAGCAATGACAAGGTTTTACAGAAAATGGAAGAAAAAAAAAAACAAAAAAAACAAAAACAAACTTATACTTAACATCAGGAAGAGACAGTTAAAAATTTCTGGGGCACATAATGAGGAAGGAGGGCTTGGAAAATCTGTTACTTACAGGACAGTTTGAGGGCAAGAGGGACAGTGCATGACATACTTGACAAGCTTGAGAAAATGGATGCTGGAACAGGGTTTAGAAATAAAGAGAACAGAATTTAGTTAAAGCTGCAAGGGGACAAGAAATTGTTGAGAGCCATGATCACCTACATCCTGAGGGGACATGGTATATAAAGAAGAAGTCCTTTATTTTCACTGCTTCTTTTAGTTTGATACTAATGTTCACTCGATAAAATCACAATCACAGATGTTGCATTTACAGGCCTGTCTCAGTGATGTTTATAGCACCCTTCTCCCGTTTGTACTTCCCCTTTGTTCTTTTAGCCTCTCTGATCAACCAAGGTAGTCTCAGATGTCAACAGCCCATTGTTAATTGGTTACTACCATTGAATGTGGTGTTGAGCAGTGGTGGTAGGGCTGGTATTGAGCCAACTGAGGTTGTGTTTACAAAGCTCCTTAAACTGAAGTTATAAGTGGCAAGTTCTGTACTAATAGTTTCTTCACCCACACTTTTCATTTGTGGAACTCTTTTCCAGCTTTCCTGTCAACTATGAATTGTCAACTTGGAAATTTAAATGCAAGTTCAATAATCATCTTCTATGTCCTTGAATTCTGTTCTTTTATTGCCTTCTCCATTTCTTTCCCCTCTGTAATCTCCTACATCTTGGTGGCATTTTTTTTTCTTCCTTGCTTGGGGTGAAAGAATTAAGACAATGTCCTTTGGAATTCTTCTATCATCCATTCTCCCAACAAGATTCAGGTCATAAAATCATACAAGCTGACATGGCCAAACCAGAAGAGACACTGCATTTTTTCAAGTACTGAGGGCAATAGTGTCTAATATACATATCAGGAACCACAATGAAAACTATTCAGCCTCCACTCTTAATGTGCATAGGAGATTTAGGTCTTACAACAATATGAGGGTCTGATATAGAGATTTATATATGTTCAACAAACTAATATCAGAATCTGAAATCAAATACAGAAATGTAATTTTTCACCAATGTACTTCTAAATGCTATATTTTACATCGCTGGTACATTTCAAGGCTCTTAATAAACAGTCTCTTAATTATTGATCATTATTGATTTTTTTTTCCTTTTAATATTAAAGAAAGATAAGATTTGTGATCAATTATTTTGCAAAAGGCTTTACTAGAACTAACAAGTGCCAATCACACTAAATTATCTAAAATTACATACAATAATTAATTAATTTATGCAAGTTTTGTTTAAAAATAAAAAAAGTAATTGGTTCTTTGCCAAAAAACCGAGCCAGAAGTTTACACTTGCACAGTGATAAGCAAAGAGTGTAAATATAAAAAGTTTTATATATAAAAAAATAATTCTCTTTTTACGTCAATTTCAGCATGCCTGTTATAGAAGAAAGCATATCTTAATCTCTGAGGGATTTAGCTCCTCATCCCTCAGTCATTTTCAGGTCAACTACTACACTAATAAAAGGGACATATATCTCTGTTTATTCCTAGTGATATACTAGGTACCAGTAAAGAAATATTAGCAGAACACAAATTGTCATGGTTTAGGAAAAAAAAAAAAAAAAAAAAAACCTTCTGCAACACGTACAAATGTTGTTAAGTTCTAAGATTGATTTGTCCTTTGTTTATCAATTATTCTAACTAGCATCTTTATTTGTTTTGAACATTATGTTTTGGCAGATGCATTCTTCAGCCACCTTTTATGTTTCTAGTGTTGCATCTAATAATCATTAAAAATATTATAGGTGATTGTTAGAGAAGGCTTTTCATACATACAGCAAAAATAACTTTATTTAAAAAATAAAGTCAATAAAAAAAGAAATGAAGTTGTTTTTCCAATATATGTCTTGAAAGGAGGCAAGTATGTGTATTTAACATTCAAGATTCTAGGATATGAATTACACCTGAAGGTGGTTAAAAAAAAAAAAATCAATTAGCACTTGGTGCTAAATAATAGTCCTATTGAAATAAATCAAACATTAAAAAAAAATTGAGACAACCTGAAAATATTTGGTAAAAAAAAAAAGTATATACTTCACATTTTTTTAAAAGGATTAAATATATAATTGAGTTTTTAAAATAAAATTTTAGTTATAAAATGATGGGGTTGGACACAGATACAATTAATCAATACATTAATATTAAGAGATGAAATATGTGAACTTTGTGCATAATGGAATCTTCTTAAATTTGTAGATTCCCTACGGAGCATAGGGTTACAGTCAAACCATGCTAGGTGTGCTCTGGGTTTTAAGAGCGAGTTACTAGCCTCACACACAACTGGTTTTCAATTCAGAGACTTCCTTCTCTTAGACTAGCTGCCAACCAAGGCCAAAAAGGCTACTCTGCCCTGCTACTCAACACACAGCAGGAGGGAAAAGAGATGAATTCATATCTTTCCCAAGGGCATTTGTGTTAAATTGAAGACAACATCCAGAATGTGAATGCTGCTTGTTGAGTCCATTTTCTGCATTGATAACAATGCTACACTATGCAGA